GAAGACAGACCTGGTGATCTGCTTCCGAAAGGTCACAGCCTTGAAAACCCTGTGGAGCAGTTCTATTCAGCACAGACAGGGTCACCATGAGTCAAGACTGACTCAATGGCAGCTAACAACGGCAGTTACCGACCAGTGTTGAAATAGTCACAGTGCAGTGGTGGTGCCAGACCACAGACAAGCGACACAGCTTGCATGAAGCAGCTGTGATGGGGAAGCACAGGCATATGGGGAGTTTCAGGGGGAGCTTGCCCACTGCCTTTCCCTTGGGGAAAGGGAGGGAGAAAGTGGCTTCTATCCGAGATGGAAAGATGCGTAGGTGACAGCCAGGTAAACAGCGATGGGAAGGGTGTTCCCGGTGGAGGGCACAGCCTGTGCTGAGGCCTAAAGGTGAGGAAGACGAGGCAACCTGGGCTGAAAAGAGGTGGTGGGGACCGAGGCGGATCTGTCCACAGGCACAGCTCAGTTGGCTGGGTTCTTGGTGGGCATCTGGGTACCTCCAGAGCTTGGCTAGGGCAGCTCCTGACACATTCTATTTTTGTCTCTTTTGGGCTCCTTCCCAGGGCCCGTTCCCAAATGCAGAGGGCTGGGTCAAAAGGCTCCGGCAATTTCATTGGTCTCTGGAAACTCTAGGCTATTTGGAGCCTCTGGTGATGTGAGCAGCTGCTTCTTTCCCCACCGTGTGCCAACCCAACTTTTACCTTTTGGATTTACTTTTGTCAGCTTAATGGATGTTTAATGGTACCTTACGGCTGTCTTTAATGTGTGCATCTTTAATTACGAGGGAGGCTGGCAACCGCGGGGCTTGGCGCTGGGTTTCGCCTGGCTCTCTCACCAGACGGTAGCCAGGCAGCAAATGGCAGGGAGGCGACGCGGCTCTCAGGGTCTGAGGGCTTGGGTGTTTCCCTCAGCCGCCCTGCTCACCCCCATGCCCCTCTGAGCCTCACTATCTTTATCTCTGAAATAGGAATTCATTTGTTCAGGAACATGAATTGGCTGCCTTCT